TGACCAGCCCCGTCTCCGGCGGAGGTGCCCACTGCCAGCGTCAGAGGCATTGGAAGGAAAGAAGCAAGGAAGCGAGAAGGGGTTTATGGATAGCGCCTGTCACAGACCATCGACCCAGGTGGTGAAAATAAGCAAGCAGCTTCTTAAGCAAGTAGCTATAAATGAGTAGAGAAGAAAGTTGTTAGTGTTTGATATTTCAGCTTGGGAGACACAGAAAAATCCTGCGCTCGCCATGCTGAAACATACTTAAGAGCTTTCTTAAACAGCAGGTGGTAAATTCTTAATAGGAGAACTGCACCCAATTTAACCAACTCACAGTAATTCTGTGCTTGGCTTCCTGCTGTCCAGTTCAAACAAACTGATCACTGAGGTAAAATGTTATTTTTATACACAGACCCACACAAGCACCCTCCACAAATTATATAAACCAGTTCCTCCAAAAAGGTTTGTTTATATTTTGAGTACATGAAGTTAACAATTAGCAGACAACAAATAAATAATACGTGTTAATGGGATAACACCATTGAAAGGCAGCAAAATTAAATAGTACATCATTAAATTATGGAACACACCATTTATCCTCCCCATCCACTGACCCCACTGGCAAGGGCTGCTCTGGACAGGAGCTCAGGCTAACGGAGCTACGAGTTCCCCAGGTTTGCCTTATCTGTCCCACACACCACCTGATCAGTGATTGCAGACACCGTTAGAGGCTGCTGCCTCCTGTCTCAACCATGGAGGCTTCCTGACACCGTCCTCGCTCTCTCAAGTTGCTTCCTATCAAGAAACCCTTGAGCCAGTTGTGGGAAGAGGGAGCAGGCACTGACCACCAGCAGAAGTACTGCTGCAAATGAGATGATTGATTTCAGTAGAAAGGTCGTCTTCTGTCTGGTTGTCGGAAAACCACTCTCTGGAGATGCTGGAGGATGTATGTTTGTGAGGTTTTGGCCCATGTTTTTGGGCCCCTCACTACAAAAAGGACGTTGAGGTGCTAGAGCGTGTCCAGAGAAGGGCAACGAAGCTGGTGAGGGGTCTGGAGCACAAGTCTTATGAGGAGCGGCTGAGGGAACTGGGGATGTTCAGTCTGGAGAAGAGGAGGCTGAGGGGAGACCTTATCGCTCCCTACAACTACCTGAAAGGGGGTTGTGGTGACGAAGGTGTTGGTCTCTTCTCCCAAGTAACTAGTGATAGGATGAGAGGGAGAGGAAATGGCCTCAAGTTGCTCCAGAAGAGGTTTAGACTAGATATTAGGAAAAATTTATTTACAGAGCGAGTGGTCAAACATTGGAACAGGCTGCCCAGGGAGGTGGTGGAGTCACCATCACTAGAAGCGTTCTAAAAACTTGTAGACGTGGCACTTCGGGACATAGTTTATGGGGCATGGTGGTGTTGGGTTGACAGTTGGACTTGATGATCTTGAAGGTCTTTTCCAACCTTAATGATTCTGTGATTCTGTGATTCTGAGGTGAACTCATTACCCTTGGGGCTGAGGAAAGCTTCCCGAGGGTAATGAGCCGCAATGCCTGATGTGAAGTAGGTGTGCACACAAATTTGGCATTTACCTGCTATTCATGTGTTTGATTTTTAAATGAAGTGAAAAAATGCACAAATATCAAATATGCTTGACAACTAACACCACATAATGGTGGTCATTTCAAATATAGCCTGCTCCTTTGTAGTGCCCCAATTTCTACCCAGTCCTGTTATCTCTCTTTCTTGATGCTGATACCCATAAAGCCTAGATCAGCAGGATGCTTTACATTTTGATACAGACATCCTCCAGCACCAGACAAGCAACACAGAAGAGAGAGAACATTTTTCCTGATTGTGGAATCCTCAACAAACACCACATTATTTTACTTAGCTATGGTATGAATATCCTACTTTACTTTCCAAGTTGACAAGGCATAAGGGAATGACTTAAAAATATATTTATTCTGGATCATTTTTACTGACACAGTGAAAGCTAAATCTGTCTGTGACTTGCCCACTTCTGCCAGTATGCTCCTGAAAAGCAGAAAAGCTTTGAAAGACAGAAACCTCAGAGACAGCCAGCAATCGCAGGACACCCCTAAACCAGGGTCAAACCCTGCACTCATCAACTCTGCAAAAAGTGGTTTTGATAAACCCAAATCAGGTACCTAAAGCAATGCAGGTTTCTCATAAATGCCAAGACAAAGCCTTTTACTTTGATATCGCCAAGGCTTTTGAGTAGACTGAGACTAGACAGGAACCAAACTGCAGTTTCCACATGCGAATGCTGGCCCAACATCTGCGAAGCTTGTGTCATGGGTAGCTTTTATTTTGGTTAGACTATCCTGAATAGAAGAAATTACACATGCAACCGGGAATGTGATCCTCCTTATATTCATCTGTGTGGTTCTGATTGCAGGCATGTTTGGGCCCAAGTTTTCTGTGATGAGCAGAACGGGGCAAACAGAATTTGCGTATCTTCCTATTTGGCATATCTTCATTTGATAGCCTTACAAGCTAATTCTGTTATTTAAGAATGCAGTAGATATTAAGAACACACACTGAATATCACATCAGCTAGCACAAATAGGGTAAGGTATAGAGTATTCATAAAGCATCGGAAGACAAAATGCCAGAATATCATCCATATGCCTGTGGGCACATTTACCCAAATGAATGGGTAAACATGACTAAGTTAGTAATATAATTTTATCAGTTCACAAATATCACTGCCAAATCAAAGCAGCTATCTACTATTTGCCCAACACCCACACGTTATTTTCCTTCATTACTCAACCTGCTTTAGTGTGATTCTATATAAGCTTAAAACTGTGGAAAGAAAATATGGCCTGTATGGAAAATTGCTGTGGGATTGCAAAAGACGTAGAGCTTTGCCAAAGAAAATGAACTCTAAAAACTGTTTTCCTTGTTCATGTGCTCTCTCCAGGCCCTCTTGTTTATGTAAGGGCTCGATATATGATCAAGTTACCTTGCGTCAGCCAGGCTGCGGTAATTGTCTGTGTGTGCACTTTTGGCCCGTAGCAAATGCAAGAAAATGTAACTTGGTTTAAGCCCCTTTCACTGCAGGCAAACCTAACACAACTTACCTTACATTCCCTGTGGGGTGGGAGCATGCATTGAACTTGCACGCAGTGATATGCTAGGTCCCAGGAACCTTATGCTGTGTCTGAGACCCAGGATCATGGAAGGCACCCTAAAAGCTCCGGGAGAGCTTGCCTTTTTTCTGCAAGTACATTGCACAGGCACACAGCACACTTACCTGCCATGCCTCAACCTTCTTAATGTCTGCACAGGATCCATTAGTGAAGAGTCCTTTCCCAGGGGTACAGGTATATATATCCTGCAAGGCATGGGCAATAGAATATACTGCCAAATACACATTATAGGATATCCGCAAGTGCGTGTAGTCCATGTACGGTGTCTCCACACTGGTGATGTTCTCATCCCCGGTGCACGGAGGACGGAAGGCAGCCGTTCCATTTCCAGCTCCCGGTCCGTCTTCATGGCCCTTGTGGAAGGAAGTTGAAGCTGGAGAATTTTTGGACCCATCGGGGAGATAGCAGTTAAATGTCTCCTCCCAAAACTCCTTGGCAAAGCCATTGTTGGTAGACTTCTTGGGATGCACCTTCTGCAGGAACTCACGAAAGCCTGGGATCTGTCCTGCCTTCAGTGCAAACCCAATGGTGCTGCCGATGACACGGAAGAACTCCGGCATGGCTATCAGGGAAGAGCTGGCCCAGGCCTCGCTTGCCAGCCAGATCTTGCCCGTGATGTTTCGCCTGACAATCTCTTTGATGAGGGGCTCCAGATCCGGGCCACTGGAGAAAACAACGATCACCCTTGCTGTGGAGTTCTGGATGACCTCCACCACCTGCTGGATTTCCTCTTCGTCTGAGTACTGGGAGATGAGCTCGCTAAAATCAATGCAGATGTCTCTTTCCTCTGCCTCCTCCCGAAACTTTTCAATCCCTGGCCGGCCATAGTCATCGTCGGCTGCAATTGTTCCCACCCAGTTCCAGCGAAAGTATTCGATGATGTCTGCCATCGCCGTAGCCTGATGCTCATCATTGGGGATTGTGCGGAGGAAGGACTTGAACTGATTCTTGTTGCTCAAGAGACGACTGGATGAGGCATAGCTGACCTGTGAGAGCACAGTGAACAAGCAAAACACACCCTGAAGAGAACTGCCTGGGAATAAATTGCCTACGTTTATCTAGCATCACTGTCAACCCGTGTAACCTCAGATGGGATGAAGAGGGAGCTGAGCACCCCACTGGCAACCACGTACTCTTAGCCTGTGGCTGCACATGATCCACTCTGAGAGTCTGTGTGGTCTTGTAGCTGTGACTATCTCACATACAGGAGCAGCTGCTCGGACCTGAGAGACTGGAGCAAGCTTGTGTCCACCTGTAAGGTCAAGGATCTGAGAGAGAGAGACACTGACACTAGCTTGGAGGAATGGAAAAGAGGTGAGCCACGGGTAGCCTACATGCACCTCACTGCACTTCCTGCCAAATCCAGAAACAAGAGGAATGTATCTTTTAGATAAACGAGGGCAATGCATGTAATTCAGACAAAATGCAGGCTTCCTCTGTCCTGAACCAGACATGAAACAGCAGGCTGGTATTACCATCCCAGACCTACTCTGAAGAGCACTGTCTGTCTCCCCTTGCCTCTCACCTCCGTCCCCATTCTTAAACAGGCTCGATCAGGCACCGTATGCATGTTATGTACAATCCCTCTGGCTGAAGTAAGAATAATGTGATGTATATCAGTCGCCTTGACCCTGCAGAACATTAAGGTAATGCTGGTCAATACTACCTTAGCAGTATTTCCTGACTGCTGGTCAGAATGAGCAAAGCAGCCAGTAGGCATGAGCCACTGTGTTTTACAGTTAAAATGGGATTTTATCTCCTTTTCTAAAGCTATCAAGAAATTCTTTTTTTCCTAATCAGAACAAGTGCCATATGCTCTTCAGATGTAATTTGGATTTTCTACAAGTAAGAAGAAAACCATAAAACCCAGAAGAGAATAGTTTAAAGATCTGGAGAACTTTAAAAACTCACTTATCTTTACATTTTGAGATTGGTATCTGAACTCTTTCAGACTGACTCTCACTTTGAAAAAAACTTCTATAAACAGCTCATTTTGTCCAAAGTGGAAACTTACAGAAAACCTTAACTCGTCCTTAAACTCTGGCATTTAATGTTTCTGCAAGAAGAAAGAAAAAGAGGTCTCCTAGTGCAGTTTCAAGGGCCACAGGAGCTAATCCTCCTTTCACAGAGCTATACTTTTGCCTGGACAGGCTCCTGCCCAGTGCTACTCTCATCTCCTAAAACCTAGTGCTACGGGGTACAAGCATGGTATCCCACTCCTGCATGTACTGTAAGGGTACAGCTAGGTGAGATACTGAGAAACAGAACCGGAGTCATAACGTTTTCCGTTTCTATGTCAACGGAATGAGTAATGAACCTTACATTAATTGTAAAATACACCTCCAACTTGTACTGACATGCAGGGTCTATTAAGCATGGATTTCCTAATGGCCTTACTATAAATGGCAGCGATAACGCGTATTCTAATGCTGCCCAACAACTCCCAGTTTAAAAGCCTGCTTTCAGTTGCCATACTTCAATCACCTAGCTGAGATTTTGTTCCAGAACTGAACCTCCTGACATCTCCCACTGCAGCAACTTCTGAGGAAGACTACCGCCTTGTAGCACAAATGCCGTTCCCTGTTCAAAGGGAAAGTCTGAGAACTGCAAGCATCTCTTACGTTCAGTCTCAACCCACCAACCCTTGTCAGCTGCCGTTGTTCAACTGGTAATGTGAATATTAGCGATGTGTAAATTAACAGTATGCCTTCAAATGCCATCGTGGTGTTTATTACACACCGTGTTCCAGTGCTACCCTGGGCAATACCTAGATAACATATATCTTAGCTTAAACTGTTCTTGCCCTGCTCAGAGACCAAATGTCCATTTTTTCAGACTCCTGTGAGAGAGTCAGACTGATAACATTAAATAGAAAAGATATATTACTGTGCACCAGGCAGACAAGGATCCTTCCTTCTTCATTTGTGGTGCAGATGGCAATTGGAGCCCTCGCTGAAATAAAGATATATCCTCTGAGGACAGACTGAGAGTGCAGTGTGACACAGTCTTGTTACAAGGGCTCCTGTGAGCACTTGTATTCATTTTAGAAGAGGAATGGATATGTTAGGCTATACAAGGCAACACATAAATGGATTAGGCCAAGCACTTTTTCCAAAGTTGTCTTCAGTGTGGAAATCTAAAATCAAGAGCAACAACATTAAGCTATAATATGCCAGCTTCTTATTTTGCTTAGGGTCTTGGAAGAGCAGTAAGTTTGTTAAAGAAAAGGATGGGACCATGGTTGCCGGCACTGGCTCTGGTAGAGTCAGCAGACAGCAAGAAGGATCCTGCAACACAGGAGCTGGCACAACTACATCACCATACAGATGGCCTCAGGGCAAGGTGGGGCATATCCACATGCTCTCACAAACCCTGGTTTGGAGGCCCTAGGGCAAAAGACAGACAGGTCAGCCCAGAAAAAACCTTTGCAGCACCTGATCAGTAGAAGCAACAACTTTAAACATCACCTACTTGAATGATCAGAGATGCTGAGAGACCTAAGAGTAGCTGGCAACGACTGAACTTTGCCTTAAGTGGGCTCTATGGGAGTTGGGCATGACTAGGCAGTGACCATAGTGAAATAACATCACAAGTAACCTGTCAAGGCTGGCAACTGGCAATGACTGACCTAAATTACCTGTGTTCACAGACTAAACCACTCTAGAGGACTCTAGTCTTGCTAGACTAAGTTGCTGTTGGCTCACTGTTGTTACTGGCTGCTTGGTAACCTTTGTGTTTGGGGATTGCAAACTGCTAGCAAGACATATTTGTACCATAAGAAGACCCCCTTGTTTCTCTCCTCGAGATTCTATTGGAAATGGCAAAGATGAAATAAGCCATGGAGGCTGAGCTCCCTCTGAGACCTTCTGGTGTGCACTTAAGACACTTTGGCAGAGAGGGGGATGGAGAAGCTGGCACAGCCACTGCACATACCTGTACTGGTCCAAATACATTTCTGGCAAATGTGATCCTGAAGAGTTGTATTACTGACTAAAAAAAAAATATTTGGTTTGATTTGTCATAATAAGTTTGGAAGGAAGTAGACTGCTTGCTTTCACATAAACTGTTGTCCCTCTTCAAAAGCCAGCACTTCTCATCATTGTGCTGCCCTCAGCCCTCCAAGGATGTATTCACACAGCTGGGCCGTTGCACTTCTCAGCCTTTCTTTGTTTGAAACAGCGATGGAGCATGTAAAGCAGCAGTGCAATTCCCTGTCCTAGTTCTCGAATGTACTAAAAGATCCCCTCCAAACAGCAATACCCCCAGCTGCATGTAAACAAGAGAAGTGGAAGCGTACCTGAGGTATGTAAAAGAGTCCCAGCAGATTGGCCACAGCGGTAGAGATGCCAGAGCCGGTTGCGCCCACGACTGCAATGGTGGAAGGGATATGTTCCGAGCAGTTGCAGAATTCATCCAGGTTCAAGGAGTCTATCTTGTTTTGGGCCACAAAACTCAGTGTGGCCTCGAGGGCTTTAGAGACTGTATTGCAAGTATCAAATATCCTGTATCCTAGGGTCATGTTGGGAAGGAGGGTTGGGCTACTGTTTATTTCTTCTATGGCAAAGATCATAGCCTGAAGCCAGCGGAAGCCTCGGAAATTATACCTGGGGGAGCAAAAATAAAAATAAAACAGAGTGAGAAGGAGGGAAACAGAGGAGAGGAGATGAGGATTGAGACAGAGTGAAGAGTTCCAGATACAAAAAGCAAAAGCAACTTACGCAATTTCTTGCCTCCTACTAAATTTGGGAAGTTTCGCTTCTGTGTTCAGTGGTTACAGAGAGGCGGGCATATGCTACAAGTTTTTGTTCTGGTTTTCAGCTCTTCGGTTTGGGAGCCCACTTCAGAGGTCAGGAGGATGAGGTGAACTTTTCTAAGTCCTCTAAAGTTGGAGAAAGTTGGAAGAGAGCATGCCCGGGGTGTTGGCTGTGGCCTGTCCCTTCTGCTCAGTACCCTAAGCCTGGTGATTCCTGAGCAAATGCCCTGACACAAAGCTACACCCACCAAGTTTCCTTCCAGGCTCCTCTGACACGTTTCTGAATGCAGATGGCAGTGTCTGCAAAGCCTGCGCGGCGCGCGATGCTGCCAGGGACTTGGGCTCGGGGATACGCGGCGCGTCAGCTTCTGGTGGCGCCGGGCGGGCGGGGT